CACAACTTATTCTGGCTCTGCTATTCATGGGATCCATGAAGAGATGAAAGAGATACAACAAGGCACTCTCACCCCATCCCCAATCGCTGGAAAGCTGATTCTGTTCAGGAAGCTAGATTCAGCATTCAGCACACTTTTTTGTCCTATGCCCCATCTATTCCTGCTTGAGGAATCAGGAAAGGAGCTGATCTGCCTGGTTCCCATCTTTCCTGTGCTCTTACAGTTCCTCAAATACATCTGTACTTATGCAATTCAAATCCTGTGCTAAGAAAAAACAAACTGTATAAATTATGCATTCTTAATCTTAATATGTGTTATGTGGACAACATACCCAATCCCAAACCAATTCAATGAGATCCCCGAATCAACAGAAAGTCAGCAACTCCTTTGGTCTAAGTAGTTTGCCTACTAAATCAAAAGCGCACATACACTTCCCTCAGTCCATCTAATCCCAGGATATGGTTGGAAGGCACAGGATGCAGCAACCCTGGTGAAACTGTCTGGGTCTGGTAAGTGCTCAGATTGGAGACCTCCAGGGAACCCTATGTATGCCACCTTGAATTCCATGATCTTCATAGGAACCTAGATGTATATTTGTATTAAATACAGATGTGATTTGTCCTGTGACTACCATTTTGCATGCAGCATACATTTTGCTCTGTGTGACTCTAGAGATGAAAAATTTCTGGAAATTTTGAAGCTCGGAAAAAAACCCCAGGTTTTTTCAGGGAAAACGGAAATTTCCGGAAAAATTAAAAAAAAATTGCTACATTAGCACTTCTTTTTCTTTTCCAGATTGAAAGTCATTATGAGGAATTTCACATTACCCTTTTTAACCCGTTTTGAAGCCATTTTTGATTTGTCGTGGAGTAAACCGGTATAGGGCTGCCAATTCACACATGGTTTTCCCCTTCCAGTAAAAAGCTGGATCTGAAGCGGTTTGCCATTTCAGACTGCAGCGCTTTTCCCCCACCGTTTTTCGCCCACGCGGGCGATCTCTGGCTTTTTTTGTGTGTGTGTGAATGTTTGCTTTAGAGTGCTATAGCTCTATAGTGCTATAACACAACACTCCGGGCATTCCAATGGGGTTGATCTAATGCTGTTGCGTTATACCGTTATAGCGCTCTAAGGCGACCGTTCAAAAAACAAAAAAAAGATGGAGATAGCCTGCGCGGGTGGAAAACGGTGGGAAAAAGCGCATCAGAACCGGGAGAGGAAACTGAAGACTACTTGGAAGCAGTTGACAAGTAAAATGCTTCAGCCCCATTTCCTAAACGGGACAAAAGCATTTGTGTGTGAAATTACAAATTCCGGTAGGGAATTCCGGTAGGGAACCGGTTCTAAAACGGTTCTGTCTGAAATGACAGAAACCGTTGCTTGGAAATAGCACAGATTTCAGACAAGGTGGCAGACAGAGTGAGGCGATGTTCCTCTGGACAAATTCAAGAACTGGACAAATGGCAAAAGCGACATTAAAGGCATAAGCGGAGACATATGACAGATAAGTATCGATTCTAACATTCATGGAAGCGATTGAGTACGTTTTCTTGGCAGTAGCATCAATCTTCCTTCCCTCACGGTCGGGAGGAGCAGACTGTCAAACAGGTTGTTTGGACTTAGAAGAGGAATGAGCTATCATCGAGTTCAGCAGAGGTTGTGTAAACAAGAATTTTCCAGAAGATTCTTGAACTTTATAAAGGCCATCATAACATCTTGATATCAGAGTGACAGAGGCAGGATGGTCCCATGACTCCTTGAGGACCGAAAGGTGGACCGGAAGCAACAGGAGAGTTGTTGAAGGTGGCAAATCCGCTTGGACTAACTTATGGACAACATCAGTCACTGCAGGAGTTTTCGTAGAGCCTTATACTTGAAGAGCCATAGCCACTCGCGTAATAAGCTCCAAATAGGCTTTTGGGTCTTCCGTGGGAGAGATGGAACTCGACTGACGGGCGTTGTCCTCAAGAGGAAGGATATCAGGATCAAGATCACCAGATACAGAATGGTCAGATACCAAGTCCGGAGAAGGTGACTGAAGCGGTTGGGAGACATCAATAGGTGTTTCATCACCCGCATGAGGAGGATACTGAGGTTCTAAAGGAGAACACTTCGGGGCATCTGCAGACATAGATACATCTGGAGGCTAATTGAGCCCCAGGGAATGGACTGAGGCTACCGAGTGGGAACGCCTGGAGTAGGACGAAGTCGGCCGGCCTCCGTAGCAATCAGTTTTTCCAAACTAGACAACAATCTCAGCGAGGAGTAGAAGATCTGGAGTAGAGTGAGGGTAATATGTCCTACGGTGCTGGACATCTGGAGACCAGGATCTATAATCGGACACCGATCTCAACGGAGAAGGCGAGCAATGATAAGGGTGTGGTCTGCGAGTATTGTGAGACCTCGACCTGGATTGAGTTAGCATGAAACGCTCCCTGTCATCCAAAGGGTAGATAGGCATATGGGAGCCTCAGGAGTGAGACCGAGATGCACAATGAGAGGAAGGCTGCTGGACAGGCAACTTGGAATGCTGACCAGGTGGAATATGTCCTGATGGTGAAGACAAGGTAGGAGGAGGAGGAGGCTGAAGACTAGGCTTATATGAAGGTGGAGCCGCAGAAGAGACCACCAGAGTCGATGTCGATAGACCAGAGATCACCACGGGATCAAACTTCGGAGCCGAAGCAGACATCGAGGGTTTCAATTTCGGCTTAGCCGACTGTCTTCGTGCTTTTTAGACTTATGCTTTAAGGATTTTGCATTGTCAGTGTGTTTGGGTGGAACAGAAGACTGGGACGTGACTGAAGACATCGTAGGACGCAAAACTTCCTCGAGCTGGGAAGTGACTGAAGACATCGTAGGACGCAAAACTTCCTCGAGAAGAGACGTTCTAAGTTGGGCCGTCCTATTTCTACAGGCCTGTCGAGTAAAGTTTGCGCAATGGGGACAGGAATCAACCCAGTGAGACTCGTCCAGACAAAACAAAGATTAAGGCCATTGTTGGAGGGAAGTTTCTCTGGGCAACGGCGACACGTCTTAAAGAATTTTGTGCATCCCATACAAATACCTCCCCGACCAAGGGGGGGGGGTGCGGACAGAAATGAAAGTGAGGAAAAATAGTAAAAAAAATTGTTTCGTTTTTCAGGAGGAATAAGAATAAGGAGAAGAAAACCAGGAGAGAAGTACTCAGCTGAGGCAATTCTGAAGAGCGACGCTAGAGAGGTGTGAACGCAAAGGTGGTCGAAGAAGAACTGATTGGGAGGCGGCTCTCTACCTCGCTCCAGGCATGCGCAGTGCGTGCCTGCACCCCAGGGTGGGAAGAGAGCCTGCCAAAAAAGGTTTCTGAGGCAAGTTCTAGAAGGTTCTCCGATCAAGGTCGTGCGCAGGCGCCCAACCCATGTGTGGGACTGCACAAAGACCATGACGAAGATGAATATATTGCTCTTGCAAGAGCTTAATCAAGTTTTTCCTGATCTTCAGGTGTCATCTTGTCTACAAATGAATTAATTGAATAAGTTTTGGATGCAGCTGTCTTCAGTATCTGTTCACTTGAAGATGCTGCTGATGGAACAACACTTTGTGGTGCTGCTGATGTTACAGATGGAGTAGAAAGAGGACTTCTTGAATGAGAACTTTGGGAAAAACTATGTGCATTTTCATCATTGTACTCCTCTTCACTTAGATCCATGAAGGGTTTTTTAATATCTACAGGACACTTGTTACATACAAGAATGTGTTTTGTCATCCTGGTAGCATTTGTAAATGCATATTTCACCTGACAATATTTGCAAATCACATTTTTCTTCTCAGAAGAACTTGTAATGTGAAAATTTAATCAGAATCATTTTCTGAGCTGTAATTATCAGTATCGGTTTCAGTCTCTGCTTCTGCAGCTACTCTGTTGTGTCTGTCATTATCCATTGGAGAGTTCAGTTTGTAACCTAGGACTTGCTTGTCCTCAGTGCACAGAAATTAGATTAATCTGATACCATACATATTTTTTAGAAATGATTTGGAAAATATTTGAACACTTTGTCTTAAAATATTTTATTCATCATGTTAAAATAGAACATTCCATTAAAAATTCTTTTTTCTTCAATTTTTCCAATTTTTCGGAAAAAAACAAAAAAGGTTTTGGAAAAAAAAGGAAAAAAACCCATTCCCCCCCCTAATTTTTACAGTTTTTTTCCGGGCCTTCACATCTCTTTCTCCTTGTCAACTTTTCCTCAGGTGTTTGTTTATTTGTATAAACCATCTCTATGTCCCCAAGGCAGGGAAATTCAAAACATTTCAATATTAAAACATATAAAATAAAGCATATGTAAAATTTAATAAAAACATAGAAACATGCATAACATCAAAATCAGCGGGGAGGGCCAATAACTGTGATTGGGGTTAAGCCAAACAAAACAATAAAGTCTTTACCTGCTGGCAGAAGACAGCAATAGAGGGATGTTATAAATGTTAACACTACTAAATATTGCTCCCCTTTAAAATAATCATCCACCTACTTAGGAAAGGCCCATAAAATCCAGAGATTCTCTTTGTTAAGTACAGCCAGCTGTGCCTTATCCGAAGCGATGTGTGCAACTTCTTTGTCATTTCACATTCCTGTTACCTATACTGAGTGAATTTTTGAAGGAAGTTAATGCTGAGACTTAAGCTTTTGAAACTGGGAGCTTGGGAAAAGTTTTGAGATGAATAGGCTTAGAAAGAGGTTTGCTAAACAAGCTGCATTTTTGGCTGGAAGTTAAGAGTTTTATCTGGAAACTGACTCAATAAATCCCATTCAACGGTGATCAAATTTTGGGAGGTTTGGCATAATATTGAGGCCAAAGCCAGACTTTAACATGCGTCAAAGAACTCTGGACCCTCTGAAAACAGTGCATGGGAGAAACAGCACACTGACAGCTCCTAGTAAACTATGCCTTTACCTGAAACAAATGTTATACTTCCTAGCAACACACAGCCAAACAACCAGAGAATCGGCCGGGTCCACTTACCAAAAGCCTTCCGGGGCTCAGTGAGCTTCATTGTAAAAGTGCGGCCCTTGGGCAAATCCTTGAGCATTTTGGCAACCTCGTAATGCCGGCAGCCGATGAGGCTCTGACCGTTGATGGACTCGATCATGTCCCCAACGTTGATGACTTGAATCCGGTCAATAACGCTGCCTTCCTTGATTCTCTGTCAGTAACATATGGGAAGAGTCACTCTGAATATGCAAGCCTAGTCGCTTCCTGACCTAGGTCATTTCCCACCCTGAGAGCTTCAGAAGGCAATCTGGCCATGAATGAGAGGATAAACTGAAGCGCAGTGGAGTCAATCTCCTACCTGGCTCTGGTCTACTCGCTCATTCCAGAATTATGTCTCCTCCCCTGTATGACTGACAACTGTCAGCCTGCCTTCAGGGAAGGAACATAGGAGCACATAGTGGAAAGAAGTTCATGATACATCAGGTCAATGGCAGGATAATCCTTCTCTAGGATGCTTTTCTAATTATCTGACTATAAGTAAAGCAACTAGTATGCTTAGACCAGTCCATCTCTCCAGGAGTGTTTTGCCTCATTTATAACTGAAGTGTGCCAGGACTAACTCCCTCATACACAGCCAGACCACATAGCAAAGAAATTAACTTGAGTGTTCAGTATTCACATTTCAGCCCCACCCCTTTCTGCTTGTTTCAGTCTTGGGATCCACCACAAGCTGATCTACAGCAAGAGCCTCTCTACCTCTCAGAAAACACTGGGCAGGGAAGCAAGGTTTTTCACCCATACGAGCAAAATAGACAAAAGCACTCAGTGACAGAGTTTCAAGAACATGATTCAAAATTCCGGGCATCTATTGCACATTCCACTCTGCTCTAATGCTGAGCTTGCAACACCTCCTTGAGATCTGGTGAATCATAATTAATATTTCTATTTCTAATTTAGTCACAGTGGATGCAAACAGCAGCCCAACCAGTCTGACATCCTGTTTCCTGCAAAAGCAGTTCTCAAACACCTTGCAAGAAGGCATAAACCACACCCCACCAGGCAAACTTGTACTCCTGGAAGCAGCCCAGCAACACAGCAACACTTCTGAACCAAAGAACCTGCACCATCAAGCCCCGGGAACCAAAGCTTTTACCAATGCCTTCTGCAGCCACTGAAGATAATAAGCTCCTGAATCTGCCTCTTTCTTAACCCGTTTCCCAAGGAAATGGCCTATAATCCATGCTAGGAAAGTAGCATTCCTTTTCCTTGGGTAAAATATTTGTTTTTGTAGGGTTTTGACTGTAACAATAAAGCAACACTAGGGCAATGGAGTGTTAAAAAGTTTTGGATGTATGTGTGTTTGTACTGCAATCTGGAAAGCATGGTATAATCACAATGTGAATTAAGTGTGCAAAAGGGGTACACAGTTCCTAATTCTAAGAATCTATCAGGAAGTACAGCCTCCTGAAATGAAATAGAAAAGGAGGAGATCAGAACCATAGAAAAGTTTACTGGGAACAGACTTTCACTTCTGTTAAAACCAAAGCAACCAGACAGTGTTGGTTTGGAGAGCTTTCAGAGACTGTTTTACTAGGTCTGGGTTTGCATTTTGATGAGTAGACTTCTGTTCTACAGCATCTTGACAAGAACAGCAACGTCTTATGTTAAATAATAAACACTGCAGTGTTGTTGTTTTTCCAAGGCCAGGACCCCTCCCTTGCATCCAGGGCCGGCTCGAGGTGCTTCTGCGCCCTAGGCAGGCACAGATGCCAACCTCCCGGTGGGGCCTGAAGACCCTTTTGCTGCCGCCGCCTCCTCCCCCCCAGGGGGGAGGGGGAGGGCGGGTGAGCTGCGGCGCGGGTCTGGCTCGGGGGTGGGGCCGGGCAGCATGGAGGGACGGCCCCACAGAGCCTGGAGCGCAGAGAGAGAGCCGGAGGGAGCGGGCGAGAGATGAGCCCAGTGTCCTGCACCGGCACCAGCAGCAGCAGACCCCCGGGGCGGGCGGAGACGCAGATCTCCAGGGCGCGCGGGGGGAAGTCGATGGGCTTCCCACACGGAAATGTTCGAGGTGCTGCTGCCACTCAGTAAGAACCGCTTCGGCTTCCCAGTCGCGGGATCAGGTTGCAACATGCAGGGCAGCCAGAGGCTCTTTGGAAGGATCAAATACAAGTGGACAATCCAATCCACACCCTCTTATTTTTTGCTACGGAGATCAGGCCTCCAGCTTGTTTCGTCGGCCTGCTTTCCTGCAACTCCCGGTGCTCGTCCGCCTCCTCCAGCCCTCCCCCCCCATGGAGATCTCCTCGCTCGGCCCCATGAGCGCTGGAGAAAACAAGCCAGATGATTCCTGTCTCAGCACTGTGCAAGTTGGGGCACGAAAGCCAAGCCAAGCTCTACCCACAGCAGGGAAAGGTCGTGGCAGAGCAGCCTCTCTGCAGGGCAAAGAAGCCACTGGGGATGGCGGCCGGTGGCGTGGGAGAGGGTGTGGCGGCGAGGAGCGAGCAGGATCTCGGGGGTGCGGCTACACCGCCGCTATCAAGGCTACTTTTTAAAGGAAGCTCCGCTGTGGGGGGGTACGGGCACGTGCAAGAGAGAGGCTTTCCTTTCCTGATTCCCCGATTGCTGAGAGTGGAGGAGATGGAGGCAGGGCGAGCGGATGGCGGGTGGCAAGGTGTGCTGCTGCATCGTGGTGTGCATGTGCTAGGATTGCGCAGCTCTGAAGTGCAGAGCCACGGGCGCCCCGGCACCATGCCCCCATGCGCCACCCGTGGGCTCCCCGGCAAAAGCTTCCCCGGCCTCCCGCCGCCTCCACCGGGTGCTCCTGAGTTGCTAAGGGCAAACTGACCCCGGCCCTGCGCACAAGAGGGCAGGCACCTGGTTAGGGAGGGCGGGGCACAGTTTGGATCCCCTGAGGGCCGGCCCGCCCTAGGCAAGCCCCTAGTTCGCCTAGCCGGTGAGCCGGCCCTGGATGGGCTGAGGCGTTCCCAAAGGTGGCCAAAGATTTCTTGGTGGGAAAAGGCCTTGCCTCCACAAGGGGTCTCCCTTCCTTTTGACCTGGGCCATTGGCCTGATCCAACATGGCTTCTCATATCTTCTTATGGGTAAACATCTGGACCAGATGTCCATCAGTTGCTATTAGCCATAAGGTCTAGGGGGAACACTGTGTCTGGGGCAGTGATGCCCTGTCTACTTGGTGCTTGGGGGGCAACAGTGGGAGGGCTTCTGGAGTTCTGGTGACATCTGATGATGACATCTGGGTTTTGGCCACTGTGTGACAGATTGGATGGGCCACTGGCCTGATCCAACATGGCTTCTCTTTTGATCTTATGCTCTGTATTCTTGGGGGGGGCAAGAGTGGGAGGGCTTCTGGAGTTCTGGCTCATCTGGTGGACTTCCTGATGGCCCCTAGGTTGTGGCCACTGGGTGACGCGGAGCATTGGACTGGGTGGGCCATTGGCCTGATCCAACATGGCTCCTCTTACATCTGGGGCATTTATGCTCTGTCTTCTTGGTGCTTGGAGGGCAACAGTGGGAGGGCTCCTGGAGTTCTGGCCCTGCTGGTGGACCTCCTGATGGCACCTGGGTTTTGGCCACTGTGTGACAGAGTGTTGGACTAGATGGGCCATTGGCCTGATCCAACATGGCTCCTCTTACAGGCCTTCTTTCCCAATCTTTTAGTTCTATGACCACCCCACCCCAGATGATCTATGATGGGACAGGCAATTTGTGAACATGCACACACAGGCTCTTTTCTGAAGAACGATCCAGCTGCATCACTCCAAGGCTCAAAAAAAAAAGCTCATGCTGGAAGAAAGTTTGTAAGTCTTTAAGGTATCACTAGACTTCCGTTTTTATTCTACTACAGAAGACTAAAATGGCTACCCCACTGGAATTAATCTAGTCTCCCATCCTAGTTGCAACTGTACGCAGAAGCTTTTGGGAAGAAATCACTGCATGAAAACACTAATATTACCCCACTGTATGTCCACAGTATTTGGTATTCAGAAGTATGCTGCATTGAAATCCAAAGATTTTATTTAATTACCATGTCTAAGAGTCACTGATACACCCAACCTCCATGACAGGAGAAAAATGTATTGCTAGTCACTTCCTCTACAGTATTCATAACTTTATAAACCTTTATTATAAACAAGAAAGCCCCAAACACTTATGCTTTTTGAGATCCAGCGATTTTCTAGGTCCTTCCTCTTTAGACCACCAACAGTGCCATCCTAAACTAAATTATACCCTGGTAAGCCCACTGACTTCAATGTACTTAAAGGATATAATTCAGTTCAGGTCTGCACTGCAAGAAAGAGTTTGACCTGGTCATAATACTTCTCATACAGGAAATACGTAACAATGCCATGCAATCATTCAGTATAGTAGGCTGGACAGGCTGTCCTTGCAAGAAATATATCATAGATGGGCCCAAGCTCCCACTTCTTCTAAAGATACCCCCCTCAGTTTAGAACAGTCAAGAAGCCCAGCTCAGGGAATGTGGATAAGCAAAACTGGTGTCAGGGGTTGGCAGCCTAGGGCATCTTCCACAGGTCCACTACTACCAATAAGCCACTCCTACTGTGAACCAGCCCTGGGTCACAGCTGCATGGTTCCCCATTCAGTAGCCAGGACCAGGCCCTTCCCAAAAGACTGAGCCTCCCAGGCCCCTCATCAACAGTTTTTCCTCCCTCAACTGTGTGGTTGAGCAGTGGAACAGTCTGCCTCGGGAGGTGGTGGATGCTCCTTCGGCTGGACGTTTTCAAGCGGAGGCTGGATGACCATCTTTCCCGTATGCTCCTGCAGAGTGCAGGGGGTTGGACTAGATGACCTACAAGGTCCCTTCCAACTCTAACATTCTATGATTCTATGATTCCCCATCAGCTATCCTGGGAAAGCAACAGGACTGGCAGTTTCTCCTCCTGCATACGGGCAAAGTGAGCTTCTGCCACTGCATTCTGTCACCCACTTGCTTTCCACCATGGGAGGTTGGAAGTAAGAGCAGCACCTCCCTGTTTCTCTGTTCTTCTGAGCAGTAGCCTCCCACCATTGTCTGCCCCCCCCCTTCGGAAGTGGAAGGGAGGCTGGCTAATGGTGACAAGAAGCAGTAACTGATGTTGCTCACTGTCCCTCCACTTACTCCAAGTAATTTACAGGAAGGAAGCCAAGGAGGCAGACAGGACCAGGACCAGATTGGAGGTAAGGAGTCTGTGTGTGTGAAAAAACAAAATATACACGCAGCAGAGGGTGACTGGACAGCAGCAAATGGCACACCGTGTGTGTGTGTGCGTGTGTGTGCACTAGAAGACAAGAATTCCATAGGAGAGGGCCCAAACAGAGTTTATCCCAAAATACCTTGATAAAAGCATAGCCAGCACCATTGTCTGTGATAGTCAGGCCCAGAGCCTCCTCAGACTTGAACACTTCAACCTCTTTCCTCTGGCCCTTGGTGTGAGCAAAGATGAAATCTTCCAGGCCAATTTGGCCACCCAAAAGCTTGTCCATGTCCACTTTATGGGTATTTAAGGTACAAAACATTACCTAGGAAGCATCAAGAAAGAAGTGTGAGAACCTGTTGCTAAACATTTCCTAAGTCATATAGGTGCATTTGGCACCAGACACATGACTCTCATCTTCATAAACATCCTCGTCTTGTGTCTACTGATCTTGCTGCTTAACTTTCCTTTTTCGGTCCAGTATTAACTTATTTGTTATTTTTGTAATATGCAATATTGTAACATGTGTACCTCGAACTGTTTGACCTCTGAAGAAGGGCCCCAATAGGGCGGAAACGCGTCAGGTCACTTGTACTGGTCCTTGTGTCCAGGCCACTTGCACTTTGTAATGAGGCTTTCATTGGGCCCTTATTTGTTTTTAACTGTCTTTCTAATAAATACATGGATTTTTGTATATTATAAGTTTACACTAGGTTTTTAATATTGGCCCTCTATCAGACTTCTTTCTTACCCTTGTGGTTCTTGATTCCAGTTTTGGGTCAAGTTTGCTTTCCCCTCCCTGTGTCTTACCCAGGGGTCATTTCGTAGAAAAAGAGCTAGGGGAACTCATTAGCATAACTCATTAGCATATGCCACGCCCCCTGACATCACCGGAAGTGTGTCATAAGGCCACACACCCCACCCCCAATGGTCCCGGCCGCCGCCAGCCTTGCAGCTCCACTGCCGAGCCCCATGAGGGGCCCAGCGGTGGACCTGCAAGGCCGGCGGGAGTGCAAGGAAGCCCCACGAAGGCCCTCCCTGGCCCCAGGCAGGCAGGGGTGGGGAGAGGCAGGGAGGAAGCAACTTACCCTCCCTCTTCTCCTGCCTCCTCCTGGCTGAATGAGGGCCGGAAGCGGGGCGGCCGGAAGCAGGGGGTGGGGCTTCGTCATGTGCCCCGCCCCCGTACCTCACCCGGGGGAACTGCGATCCCCCCCCCTGAAATGACCTCTGGTCTTACCCCCTTCCATGGAGCCTGTCACTGCACACAACTTTCTGGGAACTGAGTGCACATTATCAGGAAAAAGCAAGGTCTGTGCTTACCTCAAGTGGTGAGATTTTGAAGGCTTCAGCAATTTTGCTGTACAACTCCTTAACATTGGTGAAGCCCTCGATCCGGCCAGTGGGACTGCCATGGGCCAGTTGTGTATGGAAAACAAGGCGGGGGCGGAGGTTAGCCGGTGGTGGGGGAAGGCCAGGCTGAAGAGCAGTCACACCACTAACACCACCTACCCCCACCCCACCCAAGCCACTTCGAATGGGCTCGGCTTCCTCATTCTCCACCAGTGGTGGGGCCTTCTTCCGACGCCCTAGTCCAAGCGGCATGAGGGAGTTTTGGCCAGTCAGCTGGGAAGGTCAGTCAGCCAAGATATGGACCTAGAGGCAGAAGGGACACAGATGGAAATTTAGTAAGCCATTCAAGATGCAAAACAGGTTACAAGACAAATGCAAAGGACAGGCTTTGGAAGGGATGTTTATTTCACTTCCAGGAAGTTCTTTTGAATATGATGCCTAGGTAAGGAAGAAGGAAACATGAGATAGAAGGGGCTATAGAATTTATCAGGAGAAAACACCAGTTCCATGTCCAGAGCATCAATTCAGAATTACTCAGTTGATGAGCAGACAAGTGCTTTACGAATAAACCTACAAGTATTTTTTTTAAACCAGCCTGTTTGCTTGCTCACATATATTTACTGTTGTCCTTTGAAATGTATCAGTATCCTGAAAGGGAAAGGGTGGGGGTGGGGAGACAGCATACCTAGGGAAGAAAATGTGCAGCCACCAAGGCCTTGACCACATATGCACAAACAATACAAACTAAATACTACAGGATCATAGTCACCCACACTTCAACGCATTGTAGATAAACCCCACAATGAAAATAATGTTCCTTTACCTACTGACCCTAGAAAGGAGGATCCCTGAATAATTATCATGACACAAAACACTCACATTTCTTTTGATGATACATATTCCTCAACCAGGCTGTGAGAACACACAAGTGAAAAGCACAGGCGCAGCAGGTGCCCTTCCAGCTAGGGAGCCTCTAATGTCTCCATTCAGGAATCAGGGTGGAGCACGCCCTTGCAAGCCAGTTTGGAGCAGAGTAACTGGCTACAGGGTGTTCCCTACAGGGTGGAACAGCCAGGGAACTCAGCCAAACCTTGTGACTGCTCTACAATGAATAGTCTCTAAGCCAAGCAACAGGGAAGTGCATTTCACAGTCTGAAATGTTCCTTATCCATGAAAACAAATGCCCCCTACCCCAGTCACATTTTTCAAAGTGGAATCTGGTCTTGTTTCATGTCGTGCTTGCATTCATCCTGTCATCTCTGATTACCACAGAGCCTTGCACTACTTGCTCCTACAGCCCTCTTCTTTGTCATCCCAGCCACCGAGACCACCCCAACCCACTTTAGCCAATTAAAACCCTAATTTAATACTATTTGCATCTTTGTTCCTGTCTCAGATACCTGTTCAGAACGATACCATCACACCTTCAGAAATCTCAATCCACCAAGACTAAATATTTAAAAGCCCTGGTGTTCACTTTAAACACTTATTTCATGCCACAACCCAAATCATTCCCAGGAGCACTGCATATTAATCCGTCAAGACAGCAGACATACAGGAAAAAGTGCTGATAGGTCTCACCATAAAAGAAACAGAGTAGGTGAAGATATTATCATTTTACAGGAGCAGAAGAATGTTTTAAAGAACGAAAAATAATGCCATTAGTGATATAACCTTTACTTACACAATGATTCACACTGAAGGACCAATACAACAATCTTGGAAACAACTTAATATCTCAAAGTTTGGTTTTGGGAAAGACCAGATATTTTAACAATATGCTCCACAACTTCTTTGTATAGCAATCCACTCAATGTTCCATTCTGATATAGGGATTTCTCAGCCGACTGTCTTACAGTGCTGTTCTAAGTAGAGCTACACCCTTCTGTCCACTGAAGTCAAGTGGACCTAGTAGAGTGCAATTCTGCTTCGGATGGCACTGTTAGACAGACATCAAATGCTAAGCTCCAGATAACTGTATTTCTTTGAATGGACTTCCCGCCTGAACGCTCTATATTAAGACAGCAATTACTTTATCTAGTTCTAAACCATTGGAAGGGATGCTTGCCAAGCCCCTTCATAAGCCCTCCAATGAAAGTGACTGCGAATTCACTAGACAACTCAGCTATGCCTCTATGCATGCTTACAAAGAAGTCCCGCTGATTTCAAGACAATTTACTCCCAACTTGTGAGTATGCCTGCAGCTTCAATTTTTGACCTTGTTCATCCCCATCACCAGCAGCTGTCATAAACTTTGGGGTAGACTCAGTGGCTGTTGGTACCATTTAACATTTAGTCAGTCTATGCTAGAGGCTTCATAGTTCTTCCATGTGAAGCAGTTCCTCCACAGATGCTTACAAGGTAAATAAGACTGGGAGGACAAAAGTGGAGAAAGAAAGCAGGGTTTGCTAAAATGGCAAAAAGACATGGGTTAACTTATTACTTCAATGTATTTATTTATTTAGATTATACACAGCTTTTCTCACCCAGTGGAATGAAAAACCTGCAACTTCTCTGTTCCCTCATCTATTTTACTGACAAGGAAAAAAATGGGGAAATCATATTATTTTAAAATATCTTTGAAAGAACATGCCCAGGGACTTCTCAAAATGCTATTTTCTATTTTTGTAGCCTACCATGTTTAATTGTGATCCATAATTACCCTCAAATCCTTATCAGCAGAGCTACAGCCTGAGTAGCCTAGTTATTCCTTCTAATACTGTAAGTACATTATAACAAACAGTGGCTATTTCCTAGACTAGTAAAACATGTGAGCCTGATTATTAACTTCACCAACAGTATCATTATAATGGAGGAGGGTCTGTGAGAAACATTTGAGGACCCCAGTTAAGCTATGTATTATTTTGATGAATGAACATTTAAAAAGTGAAAATGGGGCTGTTTGCAGCTGCTGGTCCCTGAATTCTATGAGACAAAATAACAAATGACACCAGATACTAAAGTGGGAGTAATTTCCTGCTTCAAGAACTGATGATCAGCTACCTCATATTGGTAAATTAATGAGGTCTCTAGACATCAGGTGGGGAGAATGTGAGGACTAAACTAGCAGTTTAAGGTAGGTTATTTTGCATATGTCTGCATGGATTGGGCAGCCCAAATTTCATCAGTGATGGTATACCAAGAGCTCTGTAACGGTTGTCATTTACTGTTAACACAACAAAGCTGAATTCCCCTATAATGGCTTGTTTTACCTAAGTATTCTGCCTCTAGGATTTTCAAAGACTGGAATGTTCGCAAAGAATAGAAAGAGAATAGCAAACGACCAGCAGGAAGAATCGTAGGTGTGAGGGTAAGAACAACTGTGCAGCAACTTTAAAATGCTAGTCCCCCCCCCCCCCAACTGTGGGAAGCATCTGACTTGCACCTTCCTGGAAAGACCTTCATGCATTTGCAAAGCTATCTGAACAACGGGACTAAGAACACAGAAATCTCAGCTTGTGAGATTTAACACACCAAATGGTAAAGCATTATATTCCATACACGTACACTGGACAGTCAGATTTAACACAGTTATGACTATAGGTTAGGCCTGCCTGCCATCACCTAAGTGTATACCAAATATATGTCCCACCCCATTCTTCCACCTAAACAGCTTGTGGTTAGAAGTGGGAAGCAGCCTGTATGCGTGTTCCTTTGGCTTTAACATAGGAAACCTTATAGTACCTTTGATATAAAGGATGAAATGAAGCAATCTTTTTTTTTAGCTTTTGCAAATATGGAGCCCAAGTCCATCAATTACAGTCAAACAAACAAAATCCTCTTAAACCAAATCACTCCTTCCCACATAGCTAAACATGATCCCACAAAACAACAGAGAGGAACAACTTTTAATCTCAGCAAACATACTTGTGGAAAGGTGAATTAGGACTTCTACAAGGATCAGAATAGTCACACAATGTGTTTCCCCCCCCTTGTTTCCCAGTCGCTTTAGAACAGACATCACTGGCAAGCCATTAAAATCAACTCATAATTAAAGGAAAGTGAGTTTTCTAAGTTAATGGACATTTGCGTGTTACTATTGGGTTATCCCCTATTTACCCAGGACAATCAAGGAAAATAAGGTAAACGTCATCAGCAGTGAAACTGACCCTCCCATTTATAATGAGGATGCAGAGGTAACCTACCAGCAGTGTCTCCTAGCTTACCTGCACTGGCAACAAGAAAAAGGAGACACAGACTCAGTATACTTTAACCAAGTGGGTCGTCAAAGTGATATCCACAGGCTTAAAAGAAAACCTCTTGTGAGGAGTTTCCTCCCTCTCTATGCAAGCATATACAGAGATATCACTAACATTTCACCTGTCTTTGACGTTTGGAATCAGAGGATAGCGATGCAACTGAACACTCGTTTCCTAGAGGGAGGCCAGGAAGAAAATCGAAGTACGTTCAGCAAAACTGCCACTTAATTACAGTCCAATACACCATCAAAGAACCCAGGAATCTGGACTCCCGCTTGAGTTTCGATTATCCTTCCAAAATGCCTCAGGGACAATGCACCTTCACACGTATTCTGTATCCTGGCAACCTCAGCTAGGCTTTCTACATGTGCAAACAGGCAGGAACCCCGCTTCAGTGAGGGTGGGGGTGGGGAAAGAGCGCTAGATGATAGGACTTCTGGGATCTTCTTCCCACTCCTGACTCAGCCTTACCCAAAATTTCCTTCATTCCCCTCCCGTATTCCGTCTCCCCCCTTCCCGGAACAGACCCCTCCCTGAAGCCCCCCATTTATTAATCCGCACATTTCCCCGACCTCTTCGTCTTACCCTCGTCCGTTTCCTCGCCTGGCCTGTCCCTCAGCGAAACTACAGCCAAGCGCAGCCAGGCCCGTCCCTCAGAAGCAGGCGGGGGCACACAGCCGCGCCTCCTAACCAATCGGAGTACACTTTGTATAGTTCATTGACCAATCACAGCTTGTTCTGCTAAGGCGGAACATTCCGGGCCTTTCCTATCATGTTCGCCAACTCTATCCAAGGGGCGGTACGAAATCAGGGGAAACGCAGTAAACTATTTCTTGAAGGGGGAGGGTGGGATTGTGCCAGCTAGGAAACGCTGTGGGAATAACGCTTCGTAGCGGCAGCGATCTTCGTTCATTGAAGTCGCCCTCCAAACAACGTTGTTGTGCCCGTGTTTGTCGACTCACAGCCTTCTAGTGGTCGGTTGGTGTCATTACATTTTACTAGAGCCAATAGTAGGGCAACGAGTCGGGCCTGGCTCTAGAATGGCAGCCCCAGAGTGGAATGAGGGTTCTCATTTTTATTGCAACTTTTGTGTGCTGTAATAGAGCCCACGCAAGGCAACTGGCATGATTCCCATTATATCCAATGGGCTTTCAGGCCTCTCCGTAGGGTTGTCAAGGAAAGATAGAAACAGTAGTTTGCCATTGTCTGCTCCCCCCCATAGCAACTGTCGACTTCCTTGATGATCTGCCATCCAAGTACTAACCAGGGCTGACCCTGCTTAGCTTCTGACGTCTGACCAGAGAAAGCTAGTATGGTTCATTCAGGTTAGGGCGGTGCATGCATGAACACACATACACACTCTGATTTAGACACCCCTAAACTTCATTTATTTCAATAGCCACTCTAGACGTCCAGTGTGACTCTTGTGGAACCGAAGGATGGCTGAAAACTACACATTCCGATGTAAAAGTGCTTATTCTGCTATCGAAAGTAAGGTTGGTGAGAGAAAAGCACAGGTTCCCTTACTGCATATGCCTGCCCAATCAAACCGAACCACGTGCCCCTTTCCAACCGCCAGAAGGTCCTGTGGGGTGTAAGAAAAATGTACATAAATTCTTCCTTTCCACAGTATTCTACAGTCGCAAATAAGCGCCAGGCACCAACAAACTCACCCCTCCCCGAGGCCGGGGAGCCTTGAGCTAAAAACACGCCTGACTAGTTGCCCCACTACGTTGAGGGAGATTGTTAACAAGTCCCTTTCGGAAGGGCGGTTCCCCGGCACTCAAGGAAGCGATGGTCCGCCCTCTCCTGAAAAAACCAACCCTGGACCTGGCTGAATTGGCTATCGGCCAGTGTCCAATTTGCCCTATTTGAGCAAACTGATTGAGAGGGCGGTGGCGATTCAGCTGTAGAGCTATCTGAATAACGCTTCTGTCCTTGACCCATTCCAGTCTGGTTTTCACCCGGGATATGGGACGGAGACAGTACTGGTTGCCCTGACTGACAACCTCCGTAGGCATCTGGATCGAGGTGGTGTGGCGGCGCTGTTGTTGTTGTTAGATCTGTCGGCCGCATTTGATACAGTCGACCATCAGCTGCTGTCCCACCGCCTCACCGACGTGGGGATCCAGGGGCTTGCCCTTCAATGGCTTGCCTCGTTTCTCCAAGGTCAGGGACAGAGGGTAGTGCTAGAGGAACAGCAGTCCCAGAGGCACCCGCTGCAATGTGGGGTGCCTCAGGGGGCGGTGCTTTTCCCAATACTGTTTAACATATACATGCAACCCCTCGCCCAGATTGCCCAGAAGTATGGGCTAGGGTGTCATCAATATGCAGGTGACACCCAGCTCTATTTGATGTTGGGCAGCCAGTTGGACTCCAACCCAGAAGATCTGCACCGGGCTTTACAAGCTGCGGCTGGGTGGCTCAGACGGAGCAGGCTGAAATTAAACCCGGAGAAGACGGAGGTCCTGTGCTTGAGTTGGTCCGGGTTAGGGCTCCCGCTTCCGACCTTCGATGGGGCACCTCTGGTGCCAGCTTCAGAGGTTAGGAGTTTGGGAGTGTTCCTGGACCCCTCCTTAACGATGGAGGTCCAGGTGGCAGCCACTGCCAGATCGGCCTTTTATCATCTTCGGCTGGTATGGCAGTCGACAGTAACAACTCAGCCACAGTGATCCATGCGACGGTCACCTCAAGGCCAGAGTAATGTAACACTCTCTACATGGGGCTGCCTCTGTCGCAAATCCGGAAGCTACAGCTAGTGCAGAATGCTGCGGCCAGGCTGTTGGTGGGCGCCCTAAGGTGGGAGTACACCCAACCTCTACTGAAAGCGCTGCACTGGCTACCTATAGCATACTGGATTCGCTTCAAAGTGCTGGTGCTTACCTTTAAAGCCCTACATGGCCAGGGTCCGACATACCTGAGGGACCGCATTTCCCCACATATTCCCCAAAGAGCACTTCGGTCGGGGTCACACCACCAGCTGGTGACCCCAGGCCCCAAGGAGGCCAGGCTTGCGGCAATGAGGGCCAGGTCCTTCTCAGTGGCGGCTCCTATCTGGTGGAATGAGCGCCCAGAGGAGATTAGGGCCCTGCGGGACCTCGTGCAGTTCCGCAGGGCCTGTAAGATGGAGCTCTTCCACCAGGCTTTCGAGTAGGAGCCGCCACTGCCATTACCACCACCGCTCCAGTACAGAGCGATACCGCCGGAGGGCCAGGTAACATCCATCTACGGCCCTTTGTCCTCCCCTTTTGCTTTGCAAGAGGTAGGGGAGTTTTATCTTTGCATCCGATGATATTGAATTTTATGTTTTATCTATTTTATATATTATATGCACTGTGTGCCGTCTGTAAGCCACCCTGAGCTCATTCGCAGGGAGGGCGGGGTATAAATATAAATAAATAAATCATTCGGGGGGGGGGTGATTCTAGTCCCACGACTGCCATTCCATTCTGGGGACTGCCATTCCATTCTGGGGACTGCCATTCCAGACCCAGAGTAGGTATCTCAAAATATGTTCTCCATTTTAATTTTTGTTTGCTGTAAGGTATCTCAATGGATATCTATGGATATCTATATCTAATGGCTTCCATTATATCCAATGGAACTTCAGGCCTCTCCCATAATTTCCAATAAAAAAAAAATTCCTGTCATTGGTTTTAGTATATCCCCTATGAGAGGGCACTCTTATGATTAACTTTCCTTGTGAACTATATTCCGTTGCAGGGATTGTCTGGGCATTACATCTCTTAACTACAGCTTATGCCATAGCAACACTATAGTTGCCACAAAACACAGACCAGGACTATAGAATACTTTATTAGAAAACTATGTCATATTTTGCTAGGGGGAAATGTAGCCTCGAAATGACTAAATCCTGTCTTAAATATAAATTGTCTTAAGTAGCCAAGACTAGCAATAGAACAATTCTTAGACTGCAATCCTAAACCTGTTTACTTGAGGGTAAGTCCTACTCCTTACTCCAGGCTAGCCTGCTCTGGTAAGCTAAGCATGGTCAGCTTTGTTTAGTACTTGGATAAGAGACCCACCAAGGATGTTTAGGGTTGCTACACAGAGGAAGTCAATGGCAAACCACCTCTGGAAGTCTCTTGCCTTGAAAGTCCTGCAGGATTACTGCTGAACAGGCAGGCTCAGTTCTAAGAAACCCTGCTTTGGATCTCCTTAATTTCTCTGTTTGGGCCTGAAGTTCAAACTTTGATGCTTAATTGGTTAATTTCTTGGAAAAGTGCTTTAGCCAGATAAGCAGCAATCCCACTATCACAGTGTTAATGGCTCTGACAGATATGCCTACCATGACACACAGAACTGGGGCACAAAATAAACAAACTCTGAATTCAGTCCCTGAAATAGATCTTGGGCTAGTAGAGCAAAAGGTGTCCCTTACCCAATTTGGCAAACTAATCTGTACTTCTGCTTGTTGGAAATGTGGGGAGTCAAACGCTAATCTAACAAAGCTATTAGAGCTGTAGGGTGGTTTTTGAAAAGCAGTTAGTGAATGTTGCTTTACTCATGCAGAACTTCACTATAATCTAGATCTACAGGACCTAAAGTTAAGATGTGCTTGGCCCAGAACTGACATGCCAAGTGGTTGCTAATACTAGTTTTATGAGACTTTCCACTTAAATAGGCATCCCAGGAGCATTTAACATTTATGTAAAGGAATATTTTATATAAATGTTAATGGCATATAGGTATCTTTTGGAAGGGCTTTAAAGAAAACTTCATTGCCCAACTACCATTGTGACCTAATCACAACTTGCTGCTTTCCTGATTCACAACTCCACCTCCTTTTGCTCTGTCACTCCATCTTACTTACCTGGGAGGAAGACTGAAGACACAAGGCTATTTATTTTCAGTAGCTTCCCTTCAGGCTAATATTGTACCATGCAAGTAACATTTGTTTTTTGTGAATTTCATCAGTTTAAAAAATGATATAACTTTTCTCATGAAATGAAGAGGAAAAAAGAGAAAAAGGCCACAATTTGACTGTGCACAGATAGAGCTATAGCAACTCAGAGCTTCCTTGGAATACAGACAATTTACTTATGTTCAGATAAGAGTAGGTTTAAATGAGTTGGGTCAAGTTGACACATGTAAAAACCTAATAATGTATTCTGGTGTTGAGATGTATGAGCTTTCCGTGCTACAGTGTATTTACAGGAACACAGGTAGGTTGACTGAAAACATATAGAAGCCTTACTCTAGAATAGGTAGGGAGTAATCATAACTACTGTCTGAGAAACCACTACCCACATTCCTACTGCTTCAAGGGAAACAGAGAGGAAAATAAAGTTTAAAGAACCACAGCAGAAACAGATGGTGAAAAGTCTTTTGGCCCACTTACCCATTCAAGTAAATATAGTAATTTCATTTATTTTATTTAGAAAGCAGAGGGTTAGGCTAAGTAGGTAAGAACATAAGAGAAACCATGTTGGATCAGGCCAACACTATGTGTCACACAGTGGCCAAAAGCCACTTTGACCATGTGCTGGCCTAGAGAGGAGGTCCACTAGCAGGGCCAGAGGACCTTCCAGTGTTGCCCACAAGCACAAATACACAGCATCACTGCCCCAGACACAGTGTTCCATTCATACTTTGCAGCTAATAGCCACTGATGATGGGCCACTGCTCCATATGTTTATGTTTATCTGATCCCCTTTTGAAGCCGTCTATGCTTGTAGCCACCACCACTTCCTGTGGCAGTGAATTCCAAGTGTGAATTACTCTTTGGGTGAAGCACTTCCTTTTATCTATTCTAAACCTACTGCTCACTGAGTGCCCACAAGTTCTTGTATTGTGATTAAGAGAGAAAAGTACTTCTTTCTCTACCTTCTCTATCCAATGCATAATTTTATAAACCTCTGTCATGTCACCCCTCAGTCATCGTTTCTCCAGGCTAAAGGTATTATTAGGCTATTTTTACAGCTGCAGTTTCACTCGTAGCAGTACAAAGAGGATATAAACTGGACTACATCCAACAGAATGTCTGTTTGCACTTGCAATCCTACATCCTGCGTTTCTTATGTCCAACTATGCAACATTAAAGGATCACAGTCTCTCTCTTCCTGCCCGCTGTCCTGCTCCTTCTCCTATAGAATAGCCTTGATTATCAACTTCATTGATTACCCCTATAATGGTAAAACTCCAGGAACATCCAATGAAGTTGAGCAAAAGATTTGAGATACAAAAAGGAAGTACTTTTTTTATGCAAACCACTTAAATCAGTGGGTTTAAGAAAATGCAACTCTGCTTAGAACAGCACTGTAAATTATGGAATTCACTGCCTGTGATGATCACATGGGTGGCTTTAAGAAGGTATAGACAGATTCACAGAGGATAGTTCCTCTATAGGTACAAGCCATGGTGATGAAAGGTAATCTCTAAATATCATTGCTTGGAGGCCTTGGTCTCCATGCTGTTTGTCAGCCCCCCCCCCCCCCCCCCCTGTACTGCCTTGCAAC